CACACACACAGACAAACACACGCATTGTGAAGTATGTGGTGTGTGTGAGCAGCATGCTAAACCAGGACCTGACTTCACATTAATAAAGAGGCCACTGGCATCAAGCCATAAAGCAGAGGGAACAATGAAGGGAGGAAGGTGACCCCACTAAATGAGTGCATGCTACACAGAGTACTACACACTACGCTAACGTGTGAAAACATTGGACATTATAGGGATACAACACCGAGACATTTGGTTAAATATAGAACTCCTTTAGACCGATAAGGACTTACATATTAACAATAATATTAATACAAAATGTCAGCATCAATGTCTCTAATGTCCATTGAGTTTCCCTACCTATTTAATGTGTAGAGTATGTGAACCCATGAGGTTCCCATGAAGACCTAGAATGCATTCATATGTAAAAGATCAATGGCTTATTTTAAACAAGTTAGAAGACAAACTAACATGAAGGTAAAAGAAAGGACACTGCAGCGCTGTGCTGTCGTATATTAGCATCGTGTACCCGTTTACCCATATCACCTCATCCTGGCTTTCCCAGAAAAGGTCAGTAAAGGTCAGTAAAATGAGCCAGATTAAAAGGTTAAAGACTCACTGGGTGGTTGATTTATTATCCAACTAATACTGTGTGTGTGAGTCTATTTACAGATCTCTACAAACTCAAACAAAAATTACATTTTCACTGAGAGGGAATGTAAACGTAAAGTTTTTTATATGGTAACCTTCTCTAAAGTATTTAAATAGTGTTGGTTCATGAGCTGCTGCTTAAAATATATTATTGTATGGTTTTCAAACTGGGACCTAGTAACCAGCAGGGGTCCTCGAGTGGGTTTTAGGGGGTCCCCAGCAAAAGGAGGAATAGAATATTTTAACTTTTATAAAAAATTTTTGCCAGTTGGGACAAGAAGTGGAGAAATAGGGTTGGCCACCTTGATTGGCTGTAATTTATAGTGATCCTAGTTTGATCACTGATTGACTATGAAGGCGTTATTAAAATAAAAATCCTCAAAAGGGATCCTTGAGGACAAAATCCTCTCAAACTGGGGGACTAATGTGCATCTATTGTGGATGTCCTTTGCATGAAAAGGTTTAGGAATCCTTGTGATATGAAATCCTTTTTTTGTCTGATGTATGCTTTTGTACAGATTTATATATAAATATATATGTTTTTTGTTTTATATGTACGTATTTACATATTTTTGCTCTTGTACCAAAATCCCAATAGGAAAAAACAAAAAAATCCCAGTTGAAAAAAAATAACTACTTAAATACACCATGCTTATAAAAGTTAATAAGGACTTTTTTTTTTTCTGTTCACAAGTTCACAAAAAACTTTTTCAAATGTGCCAGTGTAGTACATTTTAAGAAATCTTGTTTCTACGGAGTCCAGCATGTTCAACCGTCATGTTTCTAGGTGGACTATAGAAGAGGACCTGCTCCCTCTGTAGATGAAAAAATCATATTCTAAGGTAACAAAAACACAACCACTCCTATTTTCAGGTGATTACACACTGATGCCAAAAATAAGTATTTGTAGAAGAGAGAGTTGTTTCAGAGCTTGGGCATACCTTATTTAAAACGCACACCATGTC